TACCACGGAGTGTAGAATTATCCATAGGTAGATACAAGGAGAGCATTGAATGGAGAGTAATTCGTTTAGCTCGATATGATGTCATCCTTGGAATGTCATGGATGGAACAATATAATCCGAAGGTAGATTGGAGAAGAAAAGTGATTACAAGTAGTGGATGGAAGATCTATGGAGATAGAATTAGATCTCAGAATAGAAATTTACCCCTCTTCGTGATGGGTACAGCATCCATTTCTAGAGATGATGTATGTTTCCTTGGACTTATAAGAGATATTGGGTCCACGGACAAACCTTACATCCCGGAGTCCTTGAACGACATTTTTATGGAGTATAAAGATGTTTTTCCAGATGATCTACCTGCAGGATTACCACCAAAGAGGCGAGTAGATCACAAGATTGAGGTGATACCTTGAAGTACACCAACTTGCAAAGCTCCATATCGTTTGGCTCCAAACGAATTGGAAGAATGCAAAGCTCAAGTGGAGGAGATGTTGAGCAAGGGATTCATTCAACCAAGTGTTTCACCTTATGGAGCTCCAGTACTCTTTGTGAAGAAGAAGGATGGATCCATGAGACTATGTATCGATTATCGCGGGTTGAATCAGCAAACGGTGAAAAACAAATATCCATTACCTCGTATGGATGATTTGTTTGATCAACTTCAAGGAGCGAAGTACTTCACCAGGCTAGATTTGAGAAGCGGCTACAATCAAATTCGAATTGCAGATGAAGATGTTCACAAGACAGCTTTTCGTACTAGGTATGGACACTTTGAGTATCTGGTGATGCCTTTTGGTCTCACTAATGCACCAGCTACATTCATGGGATTGATGAACGATATCTTTCGCCCTTATCTAGATAAATCTGTCATTGTTTTTCTAGATGATATATTGGTGTATAGCAAAACTTTGAGTGATCATAGAAGTCATTTACGAGAGGTACTTCAAGTTTTAAGAGACAATCAATTGTATGCCAAAGCTTCAAAATGTGAATTTGGCAAGTCAGAAGTAGATTACTTGGGTCATAGAGTTACAGCTACAGGAATCCAAGTGATGAGTGAGAAGATAGATGCCATTCAGAAATGGATAGCACCTGAGGATCAAACTCAATTGAAAAGTTTTCTAGGGCTCACTGGATTCTATCGTAGATTTGTGAAAGGTTTTGCTCGACTAGCTCAGGCCTTGACTTCCATGTTAGTGAAAGGTCAAAAGTGGAGATGGGGAACAGCTCAAGAGTTAGCTTTTCAAGCATTGAAAGATGCTTTGTTACACGCACCTATTCTCAAGTGGTATGATCCTAACCGTTCTATCAAGTTGGCCACTGACGCATCAGGTACAACAGTAGGTGGCATACTTCAACAAGAATGGGAGGATGGATGGCATCCTGTTGCTTTCTATTCTCGAAAGTTGGTGGCGGCGGAACAAAATTATCACACGACAGAACGAGAGGAGTTAGCTATCGTGTTGGCAACCAAACATTGGAAGCATTATTTGGGTGATAAGGAGTTTGTGGTGGAGACTGATCATAAACCCTTGGTTTATTTGGAAACTCAGAAGGATCTGTCCAAACGACAAATTCGATGGGCAGAGTGGAGTGGCGTCAACGCTTCAACATGAAGATTGTGTACGTGGAGGGAAAGAAGCAACTTGCAGATGCCCTCACACGCATGCCTTGTTTGAATCATGTTGCAGAAGTGAAAATTCAGGCGGATTGGTGGAGCAAGATGTCACAAGCCACAAAGGAGGATGAAGAGATCACTCGGGCACTACAAACTGGAAAGGCAGAGAAATCTCGAGGTTTGGCGTTTTACAATCAGCGTATATGGATTCCACAAGATCACGATTTGCGCACAATGATTTTGGCAGAAAGTCATGATACAGCCATTGCAGGTCATGTGGGAGTGGAGAAAACCGTGAAGAGTATACAACGAGTGTACTATTGGCCCAAAATACGTGAGGATGTGGAGTCTTATGTTCGAAGTTGTGTTGCTTGTCAACAAAACAAGGCAAGTAATCAAAAACCAGCGGGTTTATTACAGCCTCTTCCTATTCCCGAACAGCGGTGGGAACATGTCACCATGGATCTTGTATGTGAGTTACCAAGGACTTCGTTAAGACATGATTCAGTGGTGGTTTTTGTGGACAAATTGAGCAAGATGATTCACATCAGGCCAACCACAAAAACAGTAACAGCTCCACAACTAGCTCAATTGTATCTAGATGCAGTTTTTGTGAATCATGGTTTAAGCAAAGTGTTAATCACGGATAGAGGTACTCACTTCACTAGTTTATTTTGGAAAACTTTGTTTAGTTTTTTCAAAACAAAACTAGCAATGTCAACGGCCTATCATCCTCAAACTGATAGACAAACTGAGAGGGCAAATAGAACCATAGAGGATATGCTACGAGCATTCACATTAGAAGAGCAAGAAGAGTGGGACAACCTTTTGCCACTTGTGGAATTTGCATATAACAATTCTGTTAATGCATCCACAAAAGTGTCTCCATTTTTTCTTATGTATGGAGCTCATCCGATAACTCCTTCAAGTTTGATGAGACTTCCCAAAGGAGAGGAGTTTTCGACCAAAGTTGCAGCAGTCAACGAATTCGTGGAGCATATTCACCGAGGACTACATCAGGCCAAGGAGAAGTTGGTGATAGCTCAAAATCGGCAAAAGCAGCATGCCGATGCTCATCGTAGAGAAGTGATTTTTGAGGTTGGAGATCATGTTTGGTTATCTACAACGAATTTGTCTCTTGTAGGAACACCAAAGTTAAACCCTAGGTTCATTGGTCCATTTTTGGTTTTGAAGAGTGTTGGTGAAGTGTCATACAAGTTGGAACTTCCGTCACATATGAAAATACATCCAGTATTTCATGTGTCACGATTGCGAAAACATGTACCACGACCAAAACAATTCACCAACCAACCAGCACCACCTCCTCTTCCAACCTTGATAGCAGATCATGAGGAGTTTGAGGTAGAAAAGATACTCAAGAAACGAATTCGAGGTCATAAATATCCCAAAGTAGAGTATTTGATTCAATGGAAAGGCTATCCATCGTATGAATCAACTTGGGAACCAGCTAAAAATTTAGCAAATGCACCTTTGATAGTTCAGGAATTTGAACGTATGTGCAACGAGGACGTTGCATCTTAAAAGGAGGGAGGTTTGTAACCATCTTTAGTTAGTTAGAACTAAAGTAGAGGTTACTCTGAATATGGATGTAGATACTTTAGTGTGCACTAGTCATAGCTGCCACATCAGCGATCCGCGCACTTGGTAGGTACAGAGTGGATGTGTTAGTTGACAGTGCCACGTCAGCAATCCGTGTGCTTGTAGGTAAGGATTGAGTGTGTTAGTTAGTGTGTTAGTTGGGTGCGCCACGTCAGCGATCCGTGTGCTTGTTAGGGTTATCCGCCACGTCATCCATCCACTAGGAGTGGGATGGATGGTGGGGATTAGATCTTATCACTTTGTACTTGTTGGTGAGAGCTATATAAGGGAGAGGAGAACCATTGTTGGTATCTCTCATCTTCAGAGTTTACGTTTCTATCTTCGAGTGAACTTCTCTCTAAACCCTAGTGTTACAAATAGCTATTTTAAATGTCACTCATATTTTTTATTACAGATTTTATCATAAACTAAAGTAACATACATCAATCATATGAATGTCATGTACACATTAAAATTGTCAAAAGTTTTTATTTTATATTCAATGTGATAATATTGTATACAAAAAAGAGTGATTTTTGAGTGTAAATCTTGATACATCATTTGAAAAAAATTGTAGCAAATAATTAAACAAGCTACATATAGAAGGTAAGATTTATTTATTTCTTCATTGTTTAGTGATTTTTACAACAGTTTTTCTATGCAGTGTATCTTGTAGAAAAAATATAAATAATAATGAATATAATGTACAAAATGTTCCAAACGTATATTGATTTTCATAATAAATCATTCTAATAGTACAGATACTTTTGATTCAAATTTTTTATCAGTAATGAATTTTTTGTTTGAAATAAAAGATTGGCTGGGTCCACAATCTTTTAAAATTATCTCTTTATTTTACTCTTCAGTGTAGATGAAAATTGTTTTTCATTAAAATGGAGCATCTAAGTCTGAAGTATTTTACTCTTTAATTTTCAAAAATAGTATACTTCAGGAAATTTTGTTTATTTGTTTAAATTATTGCCATGTTTGCGTTTAAACTTCTATAAAAAATAGACCTAATCTTAAAATAAGAAGCTGGTAGAGAATTGAAATCGCATCTAACAGTCCAAGCTGGATCCAAGTTCTGTCATCCTTGGGGAGAAACGCATCATAATTAGGATAACTCAAAATCCTACATTTTCTATAGAGTTTTTATAGACCCTCTCGTATAGAAATGAGGCAAGTCTTTTGTTGATTATATTCAAGCTTATATTATTGAAACAAAATACCAGTGAATTTGTAGATATCATGTAGTTTTAATTAACATTTATAAATGGTATTAGTTGATGAAAATTAATCAAAATCTCAAAGATATCATATCATCTCCAAAGCATAAATAATTATTCAAAACCTAGTCTTGGATAATGTTACGCATTGATAATGAAACAAACAGTTATTGGTCATCTTAAATACAGCAAAACATACGTCGACAGTAAATAACTAGCTCCATAACTTGGCCTTTCATTTATATTTCATTTATGCACCACTCACTTCTAGCTATTTGGCTTTGCACTCACTTGCGTTCGTTTGGGAAAAAATAGACAGAGGCAGGGCCACACAGGGTTTAGGGTTTTGCTCGAAGGGCCAAATCAGAGAGAGCGACTCAACGAGTCATCCTACTTGGACCCGAAGACGACGGTCTAGCTGGCGGTGCGACGTGCTTCTGGAAGTCTCTGTCTATTAGAATATTATTATTCAGCGAATGGCGAATAAGCTTTCGACGGCCCAAGTTCGTGCTTCGTAGGGTATATTGGTCCGTATATATAGTGGCTGTCGATCCGTCGCGATCGAGCTGGTAGAGGAGAAGACGACGGGCAGCGCTGTGCACACGACGAGCCCAGACCAGACGCGAGTGAAGAGGAGAGCAGCAGTCGACTCGATTGGGCTCTAATTTGCCCACTCTTCGGGGAACATCGAGTTGACGGCGATCGTCGCTTTTCCGTAGAACTCGAGCGAAATGGCCAGGAAGTTGATTCCCCTGTTGGATAGAATTTTGGTCGAGAAGGTCGTTGCGCCGACAAAATCTGCCGGTGGCATCTTATTGCCTGAATCCGCTGCTGCTAGCAAGGTATGAACGCTGAATGTTGAAGGTCACTGATGCTTTTGAGTCCTCCATCGGGGTCCCCAGCTGACTTGCTTGACGTGATGAGAAGCCCGACTGTTGTAGTCGGCCTCCTCTGTGGGCGAAATTGCGGCCACGAAAGTAAGTCACGTCTTTGGTCGAAAGTCCTCGGGCCAATGATGACATCCATTGTTCAGCAAGATTCGCAGCGCCCTAGCTGCGAGTCTTGCTGAACAATGGATGTGATCATTGGCAGCTGATGCTCTCCACCTTAACCTGCCACGGATTAATCTTATCTTTCTTTCGCCAGATTGTCAGAAGAGAGTGTTACCACATGAGCACTCTTTATGCTGGTTATCCTTCAGTGAGATTTTCGAGAACGTTGTGATCGTCTGTTTCGGTCCTGTCGCCTGTTACTGCAACGTGCACTGATCAGAATTCGCCAATCGCTTCGTGGCCTTGACGATCACCTTGTTAACTCATGGAAATAGATTATTCAGGTTGTAGATAATTAGATCGCGCACTATTGTGTGGTTTCACTGTTCGATTGCAACGACATCGGATGTGTTAATGACATTCTTAAATGTGAGCGGCCTGCCATTTTCGAATGCTTTGTTCGAACCTCGGGGGCTTTTTTAGATCACGAGTGGTATCGAGGTTTTACTGAAGAAATCGAAGAGAATGAGCAATTGTCAGCTTCTCTTCGCAGTAACAAGAGTCTGGAGTATTTTGTCGACTGATGGACATAATCTGTTTCGTGATCTATGTAGGTCAACTCCGGAATTGTAATTGCAACCGGTCCTGGTGGTAGAACAAGAGATGGAAACGTCATTCCCGTCAGCGTGAAGGAAGGTGACACTGTTATGCTTCCAGAATACGGTGGAACTGCTCTCAAACTTGGAGAAAAAGAGTGAGTTTGAACTTTTTGTTGGTCACTGGGGCTTTTCCACAAGTAATTCTGTGATCACGACGGACTTGCTGTTCGTTGCAACTCGCCCTTTTCGCCCTTACGTATTGTCTCTATGAATGCTGCTCTCACCTGCTTTCATGTACTTGTAATACTACTCCTCATTTCTTTCGTCATTTCGCATGCTGTTTTGGCATGGTAAAGACGGAAGAAGTGTTGTAGAGCGTTCTTCAGACATATCGCTCTTGCTATAAGATATATAAGCAAATCATAAGTCATTAGTTTCTATACCGGATGGATTAACTCCCTCTGGTTAGATCTGCTCATACTTTGAACACTTTCTATAGCTCATGTATTTATAGTTTAAAGTGTTTGCCGCCAAAGTAGCACCCGAAGTCTTTCAAGGTTGTACACCCCGTTATGATTCTAACCACATAGCACAGGTCAACATGAGATTTGTTATGATTTACAATTATAGCAAACAATCGTAGGGGTCTTTTTATTGTGACCATCTTGTTCTAACACAAATCACGTGAAATGTTTGTGTCGTTGTTTTGTCGCAGGTACGTTCTGTACCGGGATGATGATATTTTGGGCATCTTAGAAAACTGATTAGACATATTAAATCCTCAGTGGCAAAAAATTTTGATGATTCTTTCTGTACTACTTGCAAGAGTGCAACAGTCCAGACTGGTAGATAGCGTAGATAGGTGATCGAGAATGGGGAAACACTAAATCCCCTCCTCAGAGAAATGAGATACCTTCTGATTGAAAGTGAGCAAAACCCACTCGCAAATTTCTGTGTTGTGGTTTTAACCGTCAGCTAAGAAGCTTATTCCATGGGCGTCTGCTTTGATCGAAGAGTGAAGGAATCTATCCGGGAGTGTTCTCTACAAGCCGGCATTCTTGTGAGAAAACCCACTGGAAAGGCTGACTATCGAACTGTACACGTACTTTTGTCTAGAGGCTGCCAGGTTTCTGTGAATGTCTTAATCAACTCTTTTTAGTTCTCGTTATGCTGTCTGTTTCTCCCACTACATACTTTTGATGGCTTTTGAACTAGGGTGCTTCAAGGCCTCTACTTATTTGGTTTGGCGAAGTGTCTGGTTAATTTTCATCTTCTGATTTTGACCACCTGAGTTCCCACAACCCAGCCAGAGCTAGGGGTCTATGGCCGAAGTCGGTGGATAGCAAATTCCTTTCAGTATGCAATATGCTGCCGCCCTAATTTCAGCTCTCCTGCCACATAAGGTGTGGACATCTTAGAATGTGCATAGATATATAGACATCTTTTCGCTGTCATATGAAAATGATAGCTAATACTGTATCGGTTCCAAAATCTCTTGTTTGGTCTGCATCGTGTGCATTGTGACAGGAGTTTTGTTTGGGTGTTTTGGAAGAATAACGGGAACTCTCTCGAGGTGAATGTTGAGAGTGCATTCACCTCGAGTGAGGTCCCGTTATTCTTTCACATTCACATTTCTTGTGCGTCCCAATGTGTCCTCTGTACTTTGCACGCATGGCTAGTTTGTTCCTTTTTACATAGAATGCGTAGTTCAACAGCATATCGTATTCAAGTCTATAGGATATCTTGGTGAGCTATGCGGTGATACTACATCAGGAGATTTTCGGAAAACTCTCACGACCGTAGTTTATCACAGCAGTAACACCTGGACGGAAATTGTATCATATACACCCTCAAGAATATTACAAGAGGGGAAAACTGAAGGGAGGTATATTTACGGTATTTATGGCTCTTTCGGTGAACTTCATTCTTCGACTTGAACCTTAGGCGGACTGAACTTTTGTCACTCGATTTGTTTCCTAGTCTTTTTAGGTTTGATATTCTAACGACAAACTATTGCTAGTTTTATCGAAGTACAGAGTATTGGTCCTCATAAACTCATCAAGTGAATCATGTACGTTGTTACCTGAACAATCAGTGAGCTATAGATACTCGGGAAGACGAGGTAGAAAGAGAATGTCGATTATGAGAAGATAAATGACTTTCACACATACAAGTTAAACTACATACTCTTGCTGCAAACATATATTCATAAAATGTACAGTAAGACGGAACACTGTAAAGGTAGAAGAACAGATTCATACATATTACACAAATAAAAGAAGCTAACAATAGAAGTCAACAGCAAAATATTATCACAGACAGTAGAGTATTTTCTTCCCATGTAGGTACAGATATATCGGTACAAATTGCAGCTGCGGTAACGAGATAAACAATCCTTACATGTACAAACTGAGAATGCAATAGTTTCATGATGTTTGTATTTTACTAAATAGGAATGCATGATTGTGTACACAAAAACATCGAAGATTGCTGAAACAGCTGAACTTTACAAAGTACTAAACACTGAAAACGTACAATTTTGTCAAAAAATTGCAGAGAAAAATGATGCATACCCGAAAAATGAAACACTGGTTCATGTATATTTTCCTTTTGGTGACACAATTATTGCCTTGATAAAAAAATTAATTTTTTGTTTCCTCTATATAGACGGTACTATATCAAGCAATATAATTTATACTACACCATCTATATGAAAGTGCAACCTAATTTATTATCAACACATTTTCATTTGAGAGGTCAATAAATCTTGAAGTTAGAACAAAATGCTACTTCAGTCAAATTACCAAGTTTAAATATTATTGTCGGTTTAATTGAGATGTTGGTTTATTAGCCTCATCGAATATATCAACAAATATTAATAATTATAAATGAATATTTGTCTGTAGATTATATTGACTAAAAATTTTCTTAAAATATTATTGTAAAATTATATAAAATTATGAAATGAAATTTCTATTATTTTAGAATCACTTTACAGTTTTATCTTATGTTTGATGTCATATTTCTCAGTGATTATGAAGATGTCGATTATGTACAAGAATTTCAACTAGACTTACTAGCACACTTATAGATGAATCTATAAGTTGAAAATATGTATTATTAAATATGGAGCTCACTATACTAGAAAAGTTGGATATGAAGAGCAAGAGAAAGCAGTGAAGAAGTAAATTTGATTGGATTGTTTCACAAATATAATTTGAATGCATGACACTACGAATCTTTAATATGATAGTCATAATGATTTAAATCTACCTATGATTAAAGTGATGTTGATTAAAATGATACACATCGATATCAAGAAATACTGTTTCAAACCGTTTGTAAAAATATAAAATTATAATTGAGGAAGTGAAGATTTATGATAAACATAATCTTGTTGTTGGTTTTACCAATGTGCTTTTACATTACATAGTACCACATGATAGAATTTGCATATTGTTACAAGTACAACTTCATACATGATTTTACTCTGTATGTTTTTATATAGTCTAGTTTTTATATTGTTTAAATAATCTCATACAGATTTTTTCTATGTTTTTCAATATTCATTAAAATCCATAGAGGTTACAGACTCTCAAACAGGAGTAAATAGAAAGATTCTTGATAGTTAAATACAATTTTGATAACTCTGAAATGTTTGTTCAATTAGTTGAAATTATATAAAGGTGTTTGCAAAAGCTCTTTGTAACACAAAATAAGATATGTATTGAAAAATAGTGCTCTATAGGTGGTTCATCTCGGCGAGATAAACCACATATTCAACGAACGTTTTGTGTTGTTCTGTATTTTGTGTCCTCTTTGTCGGTAATGCTTGTCATCTTGAACATCACTAACATTGAACTATCAACATATGTCATATGGTATCTCAATACGAGTGAAAAGAACATAAAATAATATATATTCAGTCGTGAGACCAAACGTCGACACAGCGCTGGCTCCAATAGTCAGGAGCTTTGTTTCCAACTATTGTTCTTAATCCATGATTCAATTTTGACACTTGAATAGTATAAGCTTGCAGTGCTTGATGCTTTTCTTCCATCCTTTTTTTTAATCTACTCGGCCTCCTAATCATAATATAAAGTTAAATATAAGTAAATGAAAATTCTCCTCGAATTTCCTAAAGAAGAAGAGGAAATAACGCAAATACAAAGATTTAGGAATGCGAAAAGCGAAGGAATTCAAAATCGAAATTTATCGCGAAAAGCAAGCGGGGACAACAAAGACAGTGGCGGAAACGAAGGAGAAGCGCATGGACCAATAAGTGCCTGCGGAATAGTTGTCGCCCGAATAGAAGCAAGGATAAAAAAGGCCGGCAAAGGCTGACACTATATCACTGATTGATCACGATGATTATCGATGTCCATCGTACAAGACAGTAATTCTTGGAATCGCTCCATCTCCGAGCCCCGTCTTGTCTCTTTCACGGGAAAAGTGGATGCAACTCCGAGCTCCCTCGAGCCTCAAGGGGCCAGAATCACGCAGGCAGATGGGCCAAAGTTACCGTTGGCGCCCAAAGATGAGGGAGGGAGAGGGGGAAAGGAAGTGCGTTTGAATAGCGCCGGCGCTCTATTTTCTGACGTCGCTCTCTATCTCTTCGTCTCGCCCTCTCCTCAGTCTGTGCAATTGCTGAAGTGGGAGGACGTTCATCGAGATCATCGTCTCTCTTCAAGACAGCAACTTTTGCTGATTTAGAGTCGGTGAATCTCATCCTGTTTCCGGGGGTCGGCCGATTCGTGGATTTGAACAGCTGAGCGGAAGAGCGACAAAAGGGCATGAAGATGGTGATGGATGTTAATTTGAGCGGCAAGCTCTTGAATTTCGGAACGCTGGATTGGCATAACAGAGTTAGGTTGTGGTTTCGATTCTTCTGCCATACTCGTCTGAGATCCTTGAAGACCAAAAGCTTACGGTACCTCACCAACAAACGTGAGTCCGATCGTGATGTAGAGATGAAGGAGATGGCTTGAGGGTTCCGTTTAGGACCTTGACCTTCTTAGTGGCAGACGGGCCTCGTGTTGGGGCAGGTTGCATTGCTGAGCTGTCGAACTTCTCTCGTCAGGACGACATGAATTTCATGGAGTTGAAGATGCTTATCGATCTGGCCTTGAGCGGGAAGCTCCTGAGTCCAGGAACCCTGTATTGGAGGAATAGAGTCAGGCTGTGGTTTAGGTACTTCTGCGCAACACGTCTGCAGCATTTGAAGTTCAAGTCTGTGCAGTATCGCAAGGACGAAGTTGAAATCAGTCCAAGTTGCGGCATGAAGAAGATCCCCTGGGAGTTTCGAACAAAATTCTGCTGCTTGTTGAGAAACCTGGAAGAGGCTTGAGACCGACCGACCGACCGATCGTTCTAGGCACGCAGACGGGGATGAGATCCCCCACAGGGTCGCCCCTCAAGTCTCGATGAGATCAGCTGACGCCCAGAGATATCCTAAATCCCAACACGCACGCATCATTTTTGTTCTGTCATGCGAATGAGTTCCTCTCACTCCTAGAACATGTTTTAGGCTCACGGGTAGAGTAGTCGACGGCGGAGTGTCGTCATTCGTTTGTAGACTCGCCATTTAGAAGTTGTCATCCATAGCTTGTAAGTAATCATTTGTACTGCATCTCGGGTTCAATATTTATATCAGCCAGCCACGTTCCAGGGAGGTTGAATTGAGGATCTCTACCACAAGGGAAAGAGATAGGACCAGCGAAGCATTTCCTGGTAGCAGACCCTGTCGACCTGCTTCTACACATCGTCCGTGGTCGACATTATACTGTCTAACTATTGATTAGATCCATTCCCTTGTTCATTGTTGAGGAGCCGTTCACATTGAGCTGGCCTTTAAACATCTTTATCGTATATTATAGATAGCTTCGCCATTAGCTAGAATTTGTGAGAACATTTGTTGTGTCGTGATTGAGCAAGCTAAAATGTGGAAGGTGAAGTTTATTCGTCTATGTATAAAAATATGTGACTTCCCCAGATCGAGAATGCTGCGTTCGTCTTTGTGATATTTTCTGTGTTGCCACTTCTCATATGAAGGCAAGCTGACTTAATGATTTCACAAGGACAGTGCGCTTTTGCTTCTGATGACCAGTATTCGCACTCACAGACATTGTTTTGGCCAGTCGATGATCATGAAATCTCTCTTGGTGGAACATAGTGCCGATGGATTTGTGAATCCATAATTGCCTCGTTCTCTGGCGAGATCACCGGAGTTGCAGTTAGTGTAGCATAAGGTGAATAAGTGAGTGGAGCGATAGCAGGGATCACTGGTATTCGTCATCAAGGAGACCGGACGAGAATCTCTTGTTTCTCTTGTAAATCTGCTGGATGATAACACGATATCCGTCTTTTCTCAAATTCTTCATCTCCTCGAAAGTATCCAAAGTAGCACAATTCATGGATAAGAACGTCTTTTCTCATACTCTGATACTTATCCGTATGTTTGGATTCTATGCTCGGCATACAATCCAAATTGCTGCAACGGAAACAAGAATCGTCACGAGTGCAGTAATGAACGAGAATTCCCACCAGCCTTGAACTTACTCAATTGGAACACACCATACTCTTCAACTGAAATCTTGTCTATCTGTGTCTATTAAAACATATACATTACACTTTAAACGTGTGACAGCAAATCTTGCATCATGTACTGCGTTACAAGCATATGCTGTTAAAAAATTGTGCAACCTTGCTACACTTTGCGCTATGAAACTCTACACCTAATTATTAACTCACTGGAATTTGATATAGCATTCCATAGTATATAACAAAAAATGTGGCTGTCATAAATTACTCTCTCAACCTTTATGTAAGTATCACAATCTTACATCAATGTCAAGCCAACACAATGTTCTCAATTGTGTAGCAACTACTTTTTACCAATATTTTAATGTTTTGCAATCCTAATTATCAGTTCATTTTACTCTACGATAGTGCAGGGAAGTGAACTTCATTCATCTCTTACAACCTCTGAAATTTTCATATGTTAATCTACAGCGCAACCTCTCATCTATGTCCACATATTTATGATTCAAACTAAATAAAGAAGATTCAAATAAAACTCACTCGCCAAAAAAGTTGGCTTTTAATCTTCTTCATACACACATGCAAATTCCACGGAAAAAGCTAAACCAGAGCAAGGAGGAACAATAGACCCACCGACGTCAAAAGATATTCAAAGAAAAATCAATTCCACCCCGAGTCCAAGTGAGTGAGTTTCACAAGAAGATATTTGTCACAAATTTCATACTCCACTTTGTAAAACCTTCTCATCCCAAGTTTGATAGTTATTTTACAACGTAAACGGTGGGCCTTGGGCCTTGGGCCTTGGGCCATTTGGGTCTCGTCCCGGAAGGGGTCTACAGGGCCCCCTTACGGTACACCCACCCACCCGACCGACCGACCGGAAGGCATCAGATCAGCAGTTTCGCACAGGACTGCCTAAGTTCTTGCGACCGGCCCTGCCTGTCCTTAGGTCGAGGCACTTTGACAGGCTGAGACGGTGTCAGGGGTCTGCTGCCCCGCACAGGCTTGGACCAAGCGGTAGACACGGTCGGCTCCGAGAAGGGGCGGGAACTCGGCGCTCGGATACGGAGGCTTGACGTCGTGCGTGGCTAACAGAAACTGATGGTACGTCGATCCGTTCATGAGCAAATCGCCTCTGGACTCGATCCTGGCTGTCATATCGAACGACGACGCTGCCGCTCCGGGATGCCATGGTGTCACTTCCGTCGCTCTGCTCGGCATGAAGACGTTGTTCTCCGTTCTAACTCGGGCTTTCACACGCGCTCCGATTGCGTAGTATCCCCAGTTGGTGTATAAATTGTTCGCCACATGACACCATCCCCATCTACATACGAAGCGTATTCATCAGAAAGTACGGTCACGGTATCCTGCCTTTGCTTTTCCAACATGTCGTGAGTGAGTTTACTTCTGAATCATCAAATCCTAAGTTCGTTCCTTGTACATGTCTGAACACCGCATTGAACCCACATTCACCTAAATATTAATTAACTAAATTCCTTCATTGATTACCTTATTTAGATGTGACCATGTGGGAAACATATAAACCAAAATTGGTTTATATTAGATCACTATCAAAGTTCTTCGATTAGATTGTTTTATTTACACCAAGGATCGTGCGTGTCGGAAACTCTGATCTGCACTCTATTACAACAATGTTTCTTCTATTGTCATAATGAGTAAATAGTATTGCAATCCACTCGCCGGCATTGTAGGGTATCTGCGTCATTATAACAGCTTCTTCAGATATTGCGAATTTTAAGGAAGTATGTTTGTCAACTTTCGGGCCGTTAATTCGTGGAATGCTATATATAAACGAGACACACCAAATGTGACAGAGGGGCCGAAGAGGGTTATAGTGCACTGCACTGTTTAGTGGTGTACGCTGAGAGGAACCATGTCGTATATATGACGTATAGTAGAGGGCTGACAGACGGACAGACGTATAGATGCTTACCGGCAGTGCGGCATTCGCTGCATGGAGTCAAGGAAGTGGTTGCGGTAGACGGAGACGCGCATGTTGCGGTCCTGCTCGTCGTGGTCGGAGGCGCCGAGGAGCATGTTGAAGTTGTGGTTCTGGAGCTTGCAGTTGGAGATGGTGACGTCTGTGGAGCCCTGGACCACGCTCACGAGGCCGAGGTCGCCGCCGAACGAGGTCAGATGGTCGACCCAGACTTTGGACGAGTCGGCGAAGATGTGAACTGTGTCGCCTCCTCGGACTGTGTTGATGCCGAAGTTGGCCAGGATCACCTGCCGCGCGCCGCTCACCACCAGGCTGTGCTTCTGCAGCGTCACGTTGACGCCGCGCCCGTCGACCGTGGTGTGGCTGTGCACCCACATCATCCCTCGCAGCTCGATGACCATGTCGCGCGCGAACGTGATCCACACTCCTCCGGCGTGGTCCTTGGCCAGGTTCAGCCCGTGCCGCAATGACCCTGCCGGAGGGTTTTCCGGCACGTCGTCATCTCGCGTGACCGTGTAACTGATGCCGTAGTAGCCGCCCACCACTCCCTTGGCGAACCCTATGGCGCAGCTCACCAGGCCTCGCCCTTTGGCGCACTCTGCATACTGGCACTTCGTTCCATCGACCACAGTCGCCGCACATGTTGACCTCGGTGTCCCGTATTCAACTGCACATCACATCACCGCGACCACGCAGTTCATCATTTCTTCCGTGACATGGAACCTCACTGCCGTGCACTTGTCACTGCCTAGAACAGAACTGTGCTCTGCACTGCATTACAGTACAGTTCAGTGCAGCATAGAGATCTACCATGGTTGCTGGTTTACTGCAGAGCTCACTCACCATGAATGCGTTAAAAAATGGACGCTGAATATCTGGGCCCGAGTATCAGACTGTCATCAGTCAGCCCGTCTACCGAGTCCAGTGTGCATCAGTTGGGTGTTTGATATAGAATGAGTATATATTGATATGAATGCACTTGGGAAGGATGACTCTACCCATTTATACGTATTTGTATGAAATTAAAATCGTTATTCAGAACCATGAGTTTTTTTCAGTGATTGTGTTTTATATATATGTTTTGAGTGCTGATATATAAGTATGAAAAGATTTGCAGAAGAATTAAACCTAGTTCCTGATGGTCTTGAGAAGAATCGATCAGGTGTTTCGTTAAGGCTTTGTTGAAGTCGGTAGTGGCACTCCAGCTTGTAGTATTATATGCCTCTTGGCTCGCAATTGGCAGATGGGCTACAATTTCCTCCAGCTCTTGATCTGCTTGTAAAGTAAGGTTGTAGACAACCGTCTTTGTGCTATACGGAACCTGGAAGACAACCACAATGTCAACCATATGTGGCAACATAACAATACTACGCTTAATACAGCAGCTTGACAACAAGTTCTTGCATGCTCCAGACCAGTTGTGCAGCTGCTTCCTAATTATATGTCCATTCCTGTCACGACAAAGTTTATTGTTAATTTCTTGCAAACAAAGTTGTCCTACCTTATTTAATTAAGTGTTTCCTGAGCATCCATTCGACTCACACATTAAAAGGGCAGATTAGAAAAATCTGAAATATTGTCAAAGAGATATGGCAAATGAGTCCCTTTTCGTACTCCTAGTTCTGCAGGCAGAACTAGGACTTTTCTTGCGGTATTTGACCTCTGTGCCTAAACCCGGCTCGAAGTGAAATTGCGCAACCATTCTCTGAGTTAGATATAATCCGTATTTTGAACTGCGTGTCAACACTGATGTATACGAGATATTCATTCAGACTTTAGCTCTTGGCGAGATTTTTATTATTTCACAGCTCAAACTGCATTGATTTACTTTTGCTTCGATCGCATACCATATCTACGGAGGTTCCAGAAAAGCAGAAGTTGACCAGGGCAGACCGAGGTCGATTTATCTGCCTACTCATGATAAAAAATCATTCCGATACTACACTTACAGAGGTAGATCGACGAAGAAGCTGGAGGCACTTGGCATTGTTATACTTGGCAGCCAGCACTTTGTGTCTGGCCAGGTGCAGCTCGTCGGACGACATCAGCAGCTGAGCCTCGTTCACACCAGCAACGGCAGCTGCTAGGCCCTTATCACAATCTGTCAAGTTCATGGGCACATCCTGTGCCTTCTCCAAAGCTGTGATTGCAGCATCTAGCTTCTGGAGCACGACGGTGGGCGAGTCCATCATTCGACCTTCATCTGCTCCGGTTCTCGAGCTCCCCCACGCCAGAACCAGCAGCACAGCCAGCTCCAACAACAGAACACTTCTCACCATGGAGCTCTTCCTCCTGAGCTCACAAAGGCATGCAGTCCCGGTTTGCCTGGACATGATTATGACTGAGATCGACGAAATCTGCGAAGACTTTCTCTCCTGAGCTCGACGGTGCAATCGAGAAGTTCTTGCAAGTGAAGGCTCTCTCTCAGACGATCGAGTGGGTCCGTCTGCAACGAAAGCTGGCAATTCAGAATCTTAAGTATCGAGCCTTTGGACTCTCGTCCGACTTTGCCATGAACGCGGATGACGACTTGGGATGTGTATATGCAGAAGTCCAAGTGAATCTGAGCTGCAATGAATCTTGCTGCAGCTCACTGGAGCACGAGTGCCCAAGGCGGGTATGATGACTAAATTATACCGGAGACAGAACGGGGTAGAGTCTGAGACAGGCAGCCAAGCGCACAAGCCAGTTGGTCTTCCCTTCCTGCTTTTGAACGGTTGGGCATCAGCCATATTACGTAATGTTCAGAAAATACGCAACGAAGTCGAGGCCGTTGAAAAGTGAGTAACAAGGCCCTGGTCCCTGGCCTCGAGGCCCGATGGTTGGGTCGGAATCGGTTGTGAAGTGAGTAGTTGGAATTGGAGTACTTTCTACCCAAATGGGTTACGATTCTCAATTCCATGGCTGTGGATCCGGAGATGAGCGGTAGCTGAAGGCAGCACGAGATCTGCTGTATATAGGAATTGACTTGACGAAAACTCTGGCGCAGCTAGTTTCTTTCAGTGGCTACATGGTCTTTTCCCTTTGGCAGGGCACTTACGGATGGATTGGACGCATTGGTAAGGGGCCTGATCGTTGCAGTAATAAATTAATTTCCGCTGCATGCTGCTACGTAAATTATCGCAGTCCTGATTTTCAAGCTTACACTATAGGCATCAAAAGTGGAAGCTCAGATCTAGTTCTTTTAGCACGCTGCATGTAGCTTTCAACAGCAGAAAATTGTACTATTCGAGCCTATTAATTGTACTATCCGAGATAGCCGAAACCAATTTAATGAGAAGCACACAATTTAATCGAAAGATCACTGGTGTTAATCTAGAACTCCCAACTTCTGAGATGGACTCAGCTGCACCAGTTACTAGGATAGGCAGGTGATATATGAATATACATGCTGCAGCTGGAGGTAAAACTCAGTGCACTGTTAAATCATCGAACTCTCCAGTTGGTCAACAGAAGTGTTTTGTTCCTCACATTTACGTACATGTAGGCAGCGGGGAGCTTCGGATTACATCAAATTGTCAAATTTGATGATAAAATACAACGGATGCTGAAATCTAGTCGAGAAATACATGCAATACGAAGATGGTACGCGAGATAAATCGAACGCTGTTGGAGAATCATGAATGCCAACCGGATGTGACGCTCTGCAGTCAACCACCGACTGGAAGCAAGGCAAAACTGCCTCGGCTGACCTCCTGAATTCCTTGCTCCATTCCTGAGCATCTGTCAACATCAACAACTCCGGCCTGTGCAGGCGGGGGCGCCCCCGGCCCCGCCTCTCCTCCTCCCTCTCTCACCTTGAACTTGCTGAAACGCCACACGCTCAGCAGTCCTCCATCCACAACCATTATCACCAAGAATAAGATTTTAGATTGGGCACCATAATACTCTACCGTGAATGTGGATTGATTTTACCCACGGCCATGGTTGTCGGATCTTACGTTGTCCGGTGTTATTGCTTTCGATCCGGTTATGATTTCATGTAAAAGACAGCAAACAATAAATAATATATTCAAAAAAGATACCAATAACTATTTTAGAATCACAAGATAGTTTCACAATTTTTTTTTAAAAAATTCCATCTTATTATAATCATCATCTAATATGATCACAACATACTGATCTACAAAGAACATTGGTGATCTAATCAGCCTAAAGTTGTAAACTCTGGCTAGAAAAGTTAACATCACTTGTAATAAGTGATGCTAACAGTTTAGAATGATAAGGTTTCCCACACGTGTGGAAGTGTGGTCTACACCTTCACAAGATTATGAAAGAAAAAGTTAAAAGACTTTGTAACTTGGTATTCGAGTACCTTGGGAATTGTTGGATTCATGTTTTAAATAGTTTGATGGGTTTTCGCGCTTTTGAAATAGTATTATTTTATAAATATATGTTAATAATATGGTACTTCCCAACTATGAAATTTATTTAATCAATTGCAAAACATTCCAAAGTTCCCGCCATGATTTATCCAACCTCTTGTGTACCATAAAATACCAATCTCATAATAGTTCTCAAGAACAAATATTCCATAGAATAATAATCATGTGTAATAATGTTGAATCCTAGGTAATATCATACTCAAGGTTGAGAAATAAAGATATTGTTAGACATATCAATACAATGTCAAAAATTGTAATAGTTTTAGAATAAATATTTATAATCATTCTAAAAAATTAAATCTATAGTGGAACCAAACTCCATGTTACAAAATGTCATAATGTAAGAGAGAGCTTATCGTTTAAACTGTGATTAGTTGAAATCCTATAGTTGCATTTATGCGTGAAACATAGTACAACATGTTTGATTCCAAATGCAACAATATATTGTCTACTCCAACAATATATAAAAAAATGATCATAACCACATCTTTCACATGCATCTCAAATATGAATTATTCTTTCAAAATGTTTGAAATAAAGATTATAGAATAAATGTTCAATTTTTGTTATGTGAATGGCTAGTTATAAATCAGTTTAGGCTAGTTATCCCTCACCCTACTATACTCTACAAAAGATAGGTCTATGATGAAATCACTTTAAATGTGGCGATTTGGTTTGAAATGCCACAAATAGCCACATATAACTTTTGCGCGGCACCACTAAGAAAGTCTGTTAGATCGAGTTGCTCGAGAATCATTCTGTTATACTTTCAATGGCTGCCAAGCGTCAAACACCTTATAAAACGGAACATTCATTTGAATTCGGTGTCAAAGTCTTTCTCATTCTGTTATACTTTCAATGGCTGCCAAGCGTCAAACACCTTATAAAACAGAGCATTCACTTGAATTCAGTGTCAAAATCTTTCTTATTCTGTTATACTTTCAATGGCTGCCAAATGTCAAACACCTTATAAAACGGAACATTCACTTGAATTCGGTGTCAAAGTTTGTGAGCGTGATGCTGTCTCGAAAGCTATAATATCAGCGTCTTGTCTTTTGTGCATTCACTTTGCTTGTGAAGAGCAAATCGGCGCGAAATGAAGCCGTAGAGTAAATGTTATGTACTTCAAGAAGCCCTTTCGTGGCGACACGTACAGGAGGCACATGGTGTCGCAACATCCAAGGCGCTGGAAAGAGTACAATGAGCTGACCCCTATTGAAAAAATTGTTTTCTTTGAGTATAATGCTCTTGTGATTCACCACAACACTATCAAATCACATTTTTTGGTGCTCAAGTTACTCTTCACTTGTTTGTGAACAAGCTTATTGTTGATGTTATCATCGAACAGATGCTTTTCCATCCTGATGATTCGAACGATGAGATTACGAAGGAGCGTGCTCTCAACATTTTTTAAGATGTGCTCAATCCTTTAGAAGCCAATGCTGCAATTGACGATGACAATGTCCACGTCGTCGCCGATAGATATTGTATCGACTTGAAGAATCTTGCTGAGTTCAATTTGATTGCTGATTACCTCAACGTTGGCGCTTCCTTTTGAATGGCCTTGAGAATTCTTATGATGACGAAGTAGCGCACTAGCTTGGACTCTATTTGCTCTGCATCTGAAGGTAAGGTGACTAGCTATGCTAGCTTTATTTGTGCGCTGAATCTTCAAACGCTGCTTGAGCTATTCTCTCAAGTGTGAACTTTTTCGATTGCAATGGATATGTCTACTCACATGGCGACTTTCTATCTGGACATTCGGATCCGCTTGCACTGGAATTTTGTCACTTTGAACTTTCATTTGCTGGTGATCCCCATGTTCAGCCGCCATACTAGGGAAAACATTTTTCTACAAGCTTGCACAGCTCTTGATATTATCGATCCTATGTGAAAACAAATGATCATCTCCATCTCTATTGATGGAGAGCGCAAAATGACGGGTCGTGTTCAAGACGTCGCAACTCGCTTCCAACGAGCTGCTCTTTCTGGCTTCTAACGTCTTTGGTGTAGTTTACACTAGCTTGACATCAAGCTTCAGGCTTTCTTCGTGGCTTTGATGAACGAACAATTCTACTCGGATCTCACTGGCTTAATTTCATATTTGAGGCGGCATCAGAATCTCATACTTGATATGCAGACCAAGGCCAAGACAGTTGCAAACACTCGATGAGAATCCATTAGCAAAGTCTCTTGCTGGTTCAAGGTTCACCGTGTAGTTGTGCATGTTTGTCTCAACCTAAAGAAGACTGTGTGTGCCCCCAATCTAGCTTGGTGGATTGTCATCATGTTCATTGAGAGACTCTCAGCTGAGGGGACACTTAACTTTAGGAGCCTTGAAGAGCTTACAACTTTGGTATTTCAACAGCATGAGGATATATTGAATTTGCATTCGATATATGCACGTTTACTCAAAGCTTCTAGGCCTCTATCTCCTAAAGATGCTAACGGGGTCGACTTTGAAACTAAAGTACTTTCAGATGATCGTCAGTTTTCATTGAAGCCAACAAATATGCAAGCAATGTTTGATGACCTCGGCGGTTTTCTACCAGATCGAATTCAAGAATTTGGAGTTGAGGTAATGGCCGAGGTTGTGAAGGATCTTGCGACTTGTTCAGTGAACTTCATCGACAATGTTATTACAATTGTCGTTGAGCGGTATTCCTCGAATGAAGCTGCATCTGAAATGACTCTAGTGCTTCCGCATTAGCTTGTGGCGCTACGTGGTCACAAGTTTGCTCACATTGTGCAAACTTAGTCACCTCGTTTGAAATGTCGATGGTCTTCGACTGATGTGGATCTTGTTGAACAAGACTTGCAGACGACTTACCAACATGATAGAGCTTTTAAGTCGGTTATTGATTCGTGTGATCACCAAACTTCATTTGAAGACGGCTGGATTCTAATGCAAGGGCGATTTTCAAACTTGCAAGAGTTTGGGATGGTGGATTCGCGACCTCATTTCCTGGCACCTCTACTTTGGAGAGCGATCTCCCCAATTGTAAAGTGGGAGAAGAACAAGAATATGACATCTTTGACAGACTTCTCGCTTGAGGAAATTCTCCATGCAAAATAGTTAAGACGAATGCAAGCCATTAAGTTCAATTAGCATCATAAACCACTATAAAATACAACCTAGCTCCATGTCATCTTTAATTTTCAATCAGGTTTGTATGGGAGCCACAACCTGCCGCATCTTTGACGTGCCACAAATAGCTTATTTGTGGTATATGTGGCCCACGCCACATATAAAGTTGCGTGTCTATGATTGATCATAGTTCAGGTGCAAGTACAAGGACGGGATTGAGATATAATTTTTGGAGGACAGGGATAGGGGAAGAATCAGAAGTAGGGCACAACATAGGTTGTTTTGACAGAAGAACCAGCGAGCCCATTCCCATGAACCTGAAGAATTTTTGTTTCGCAAACATTGCAATGATTCTTGAACATGTACTTGACTACGTGAAATGCGTGTACCGCAGACTCCCTCGAATCCATCTTCTTCTTGATATTGTTACTTTTTTTACTAAAAACTAAAGATGACCCGATCTTTGTTGCAAGACTTATTGGCTTCTGATCATAGCTATGGTTTGTAACGGTTGTTGTTTGCAAAATTTATTGTCATGACAATTTTTTCTGCTTTTGTTTATCTAAACGTCCAAGTCAATTGTAAGGCTGGCCTAGCTCACACGATGTGATCGATAAGCATCGATCCCATCGACTGTTACCTTGGAGTTTAACTTTCCGTCGAGTAGGATGTTGTATACTTTCCGGTATCTGTGTACAACTGGAGGGATGCAATTTACAATTCCATGTACCGGGAGCAAAGAACAAAAGGAAGAACTGACCAGCTACTTGTACCCGTGAAAACATTATCCTGTCACGTCCATGTACTTGCATTTGACTTCTGATTAGTCAGAGAACTCTCTTTTGTAAAGTATAATAGGGTGAGTGATTTTTAACCTAAATTGAGGGATAGCCAGTCATTTTCTTTGAAAAATGCTATTTGCAAAATAATCTAAAATGGATGAATAAATATGAATAATCTTATGATGTTAAATAAATTTTTTATAATAAGTTAATTGCAAAATTTTAAAAAAATGTGACATTTGGTGTAAAATCGGAGAAGGGAAGCAAAGTATTTATTTTGAAATTTTCAGACTAGGACTGTTTCAAAAGTTGAGGTATTTTTCTTTTCAGGTTTTTGTTAGGCCTCAAAATATTTATATGAAGAAAATGACTGCTGCACCAAACTTAGTCTAGATTGTTAAGGCTGCATCACTCTAGATTAGGTTGGTTTTAATACTTTGATAGATAAATGCATTACAATCCTTCACCATTCACTTTCTATAAATTCTTTTGTATACAACTCTTTTGAATATAAGTTTTTTAAATCAAAAAAAATGTGGCCATGGCCCAGCACTAACATTGATCATCATTGCTCATTCCTATACCCTGGACAAAGTGCACCCAAAAGAGACAGACTCAGCCTAGGATGCACTCCAACATGGACTGTCTTAAAAGCGCCTCGCATTAATATGAGTACAGTGCAAGATAAGCAGGAAAGGAAAAAATTGTCTAGATTTTGGAAGGTACAGTAAAATGGTGGAATATCGAAAGGCTAGCAAATACCGGCTGGAATTTTGGAAGAATGCAATAACCGGCCGCAAAGGGAGGGACGGCAAATGACCACGAGATGCTGTGCAAGGCAGAGAAGCGTGATTGAAGGAAAAGCACAGAAAAGAAAATAAAAACTTGCCGGACTTTGCCGCGCTGGAAAGTGAAGGTGCCAGGAATTGTATTGGACCATAGGCAGGTTATGGGTTTGTGACTTGCCGAGCTATACTTGCCGGGTTTGAATGGGCAGAATGCACTAGTTACCCGTCTACAATTTAAACAGCCGGCGAGTCTCTGACATACTCCAACAGCCTCGGCAGGGTCTAGACATGAATATTGAGTTGAAATGCGAGCTGACTACCTGAAGTACAAAACTCGTAGAAAATTCCACACTAAAGGTCTCAGTTGAACCCATTGCATCGTAGGGTTCATCTGTACTTTCAAATTGTCTTTGAGTTGTTGTGACAATCTGCTCTTACTTGATTTGCACTCCTGACGAATCAAGTTTCATGTTCATGAAACTCTGTTTCACTCATGGGCATAGAATAGGAAGTCGTGAGCGTTGTTCTCAAATCATCAATCGCTTAAAGAACGGATTCAGTATCCTGTGCACCATTTACATAAGGGAAAAAACTGATGTGCACGGCCTCTCAGACTAACTACACAAGGTCATTATTTGACGTAAGGATAACTCGCCTTCCTTATCCTTAACTCTATCTCACTCTCCTCCTTCGATCAATCACCTCCACATGACAGCAAACTATCAGAGTCAGGATAAAGCAATTAGAACATTTCGTATGATGGAGTGGATAAAGTACGACACGAGCCTCCTGATACAACATTCGTCAACACAGCCTTCAGCCAAATCTAAGGTCTGGAAACTTCAAGGACTAAGAAGTGTGATCAATGAAGAACGACCACCACCTGCAAAATAACTTGTACACACTTGCTCGTAACAATGAATAATGGAGGTTTACATACATAAGAAGCACAAAACTCAGACATTAGAAGCCACATTTGAGACCAAACAATGGATGGTCCGCGTCGCAGAAGTTTATGGTATCTAGTTCGAATCGAGAATTGAACTGATCACGACTGGTGAAAGCAGTATTGGAAAAAGCATTTCTTAGAAGTTTAGTGGTGTATATTCTCGGAGCTCGAACACCAAGATATATTTGACAGGATCAACACTTCATAACGTACGCTACCAAAAAGCACAACAGAAAGTAATAAGCTTCCGACCTCAAAACATCATAACAACGGATACCACAAACACAGACAAAAATTGTCCGGGATCAATTCAAACCTTTGAATTTAGTGCATAAATGCACCTAATGTCAAACTCGGCACTAGCTGGGCGAATCAAAGTCTAAAGACTCCACCTCTGGTACAAATTAATAGTGTAAAGCATAATGAGGTGTACTTTTGAACAATGAGACAAATTTGAGAGGAATTAGTCGCTGGCAATCTGAGGGCAAAAGGTTTTGCCCTCGTCGACAGGACTGCTTATATACAATATATTATAGAACAAATATTCACCTGTACTGACAATCTAAGCCACTCCAACCACAAAATATGTACATGTTTGATGTTGGCTGGATTCCAACCTTCCCTCAACTGACGAGGTAACTTCCAATCCGGTAGGAAACAATGCCACCGAACTCCAGTGCAGCAAACTGAAGTTAATACAGACATCATGTCCCATCCGATGAATACAACTGATGAGTTGTGGCTGTAGCATCGCTACAGACTACAAAGAAGCCAAGCAAACCTAACATGGCCACCGTTCCACATCTGATATTGACAAATATACTGCAGGCGCCACTCGATGATCTGAAGGACGTAGCTCATACTCCGTGATGCTAAATATTGTGGTAGAGCGCAGCCGTAAACATGACAGCCATCGATGCAGCAAACAGTGCTACAATCCCAGCTGGACTTCCTTCTCTTTTAACCAGACAACGCTCGCCTGAGATAATTGTACACAGTCAGAATAAAGACAGTAAACTGAAAATAAGGAGACATATAAATCGCAGTCAAAGCTCCAACTTTCAATGGCTGAACTAGCCAAACCAGTGCATTTGGTCTAACGTACGTTATTTCATTCTACAAACGCTAAACAGGCTAGGTACATAGTTTGAGAGTGCACGTGAAGCACGATATACCAGAGTAGGACGAACTACTTTGAAGGTTACTGGTACGTAAGGTGAGCATCGGTGGATCTACCAGTCGAATTCAAAAGTTTTCGACTTATAACATTCATTACGACGCAGGATTTGCGCAGCAATATAATACATAAACATTTTTTGACGAATCTTTTTGGGATAGGGTGTACATAATGTTGTCCAACACCTCATGAGCAAAGCTCGCTTTCTTCATCCTCTCCAATAAAAATTCTTCCACCGTCAGTAGGGCTTAGCAGGTGCGGACAGAAAGCTCAAACTAGCTCTTTCATGGACCCTAAAGGAGCTTGTTTTGCGCTACCTGGACCTTCTTAAACACAGTTCAGTCTTGCATATAGGCGCTAATGGAGCGGTAGAACACATGATGCAGGTTTTCACTAATCTGCAAACTTGTAAAGTAAGAACAGAGTTCCGACTAAAAGTTTACGGTTGGAGAGATCACAAACGATAACAGTCCAAGTACTACTCCCGGTAGTGAACCCATGTAAGAAAGTTGTAATCATAACCTAACGTAGGCTACTCCCAAAAAAAGCTAAGGGATTTAAATATGGAATAAATAAGATGCCTCGAGTTCTGTTTGTATCACATTGAGTAAATAAGATGGTCCACTTTGAGGTCGATATTTATGGACCATATTAATTGCTCGATGTGATCCAAACAGAACTCGACCTCTGAAAAGCGAAATTAGCTGTTTGCCCCGCAACACAACAGAAAAGCAAAGTTTGGACAGAGAAGGCGGGCCTCATTTCTTGACTAACCTTTGACAATTCACAAAACAAAAGGATTTCTCTTGAAAAAGCAGTGTGAATAATGACTGCTTTTGTCCGCAAGACCTATATAGACTGACGTATGTAAGGGCTTTCTCAACCTTACTAGAGCTATGTGAGGACAGGCAATAGAGGTAGAATTGAAAGCAGAGAAAGGAAACGACGACGGCCATCCTATCCCTTTACTCTGAACGTATCGTTCGTTCTTAACGCCACTAGGTTCCCAAAGTTTATACAAGGTCCATAACGAAATTAGGGGGCTCTTAAATTAATTATCAAGTCTCAAAGAAACCCCTTGCACATCAGGTTTACAGTCTGTGATTTGATTCATGGATTCAACACTACAATCTGTAATAGACGGTGTTTGCTACTTGCAATCACGCAACAAACTTAAGAAAACCATACCTGTCCAGACCATAACGCCCACCGACGCTCCAAGGCCTAAGATGTATGCGTCTATCCCTGTTCGGCTGTCAAAGTTTTCACAAGCGAGCACGTGTCAGCATGTTGAGCAAAGATTGACCTGATTGCATACCTAATCTTCATTCAGGGTTTGGAAACCTCAGAGCTACGTTCAAAAACATAGTTGTCTCATCTGCTAGACAACTTCGAGAGACGAGACCTATATCTGGGAAAGTGCACTCTGGTTTCAAGTATTAGCTTTCGAGAAGTGGACAATTTTCTTCACAGGTCCAGGTGAGGATCTACGAAAGGGAGACTCTTCGTAACTGGAGGTCAGAGAAGAGAGGTGAATAGACATACGCGTTGAGACGAATGGCTGCCACAGCCAGGAGGCCGAAGAGAACTAATCCAGTGCGGAAAAACTCAAAATCCAGATTCTCGTCCTTGATCCAGATTGCAATACAATAACCTAAGTGGAACGCTGCAAATGCCAGTGTCAGCACAGGTAGTAAGAATATGTGTTCTTCTCCATCATCGTCACCGCCGCCACCCCCACCGTCACCTCCGCCATCATCAGCACCATTGCCCCCTCCTGGCGGTCCACCGGTGCTCTCTTTCAGCTTGTTTCCTTCTTTCTTTCCAAATCCGTTCATCATGTGAACGGCCCAAGGGCTATATCTGATCTCCAGACTCGTCCGAACATTAAGGTCGCTCGGACTTCTTCCTACTAAATGTTCCGGAAAAGGCAAGTCATCGTCTCTAAAACAGACAATCGAAGGACTGGATGTTGTTGCTGAACACTTTTCCGAGCTAACCGCCTCTGTTCCAAATCTTGGCAGATTAAATTCTTCCCACACACTATGAGACGGTAATGGAGGAATTGAAGAGTTCGAATACTTCTGCGTGGCCGAACGGGACAACACATGGGCTGATAATTGCTGATGAAAACTGGCATTGAAACTGGCCTGCCACCAGTAAGACCCTGCCATGCACTGCGCCATGGCTTTCTTCTTCTCCCTCAAGTGATCGATGCAAGTACAGAGCGAGCCACACGATTTGAAGAGTTCAAAGCACCGACCAGACGAAACTCGGTAAGTAGATTCCGTGCGTCGCAAGCTCAGCGTTGACACAAACACACACCCAGCCAACCAAACCTGCCTAGATCTTCAAGGTCGGCTAACAGAAACAAAGATTCGGCACTCCTCTCCACTATACCAATTACCACTCGTTCGTTGGACTCCGGATTCCAACGCAGAATCAGCACACATCGTTGCAAAATCTGCTTGCAATCATGGCGCTAGCCGAATAATACACCCATACTGCAAGGTAAGTGGACCAACACCTTCGACGCTCGCAACCGAGACCACCAAGGGCACAGATTCAATTACCAGGGCAACAAAAACCCAGCCTGCCGCAAACTTCACACAATTGAGGTGGCCACAAAACACAGCCACGCGAGGCGCACAACTGACATTCACAAATTCAAGTTCCGCTCAAAGCTGAGACTAGTCCACAGCTCACTCTCTTCTCAGCAGCAGATCTGCGAATCTCTCTTGCACCTCTGCGCCATCTTCCTCTTCTCTCGGTGCGTACGCAGCCTCCGCCTGACCAGGCTCCCACTACTCCTCTCGTCAAACGATGCCTCCTCCGTTCAAGTCAACACATCAACTCCCGATGACCTAGATGCAACTCGCCACCTTCCATGCCGCAAGTTCATGGGCTCTCTCTCTCTCTCTCTCACTCTCCACCATCAAGCACTGCCCTCTCCCTCTCCCTCTCTCCCTCGGATTTACAGACGACAACACAACCTTTTTCTCCACAAACTGCAACCTCTCCTCCTCATCCTCCTCCTCCTCCACCACCTCCTGCTCCTCTCCTTCCTTCGCTCTCAATCATCACCTTCGCCGAACCTGTCTGCCAATCTCTCTCTCATTCATTTAATCAAACAATCATATATCTTTCTTTCTTTCGACAAGTTAAGCAAAGCGAGAGACAGAAGAAGGAGTGGGCGCTAATGTCGCAGCTCGGCAGAGTTCAGCATCAAATAACGTCAAGCAAAGCACCAACTGGCTTCTTAAGGATGGCAGCAGATCGAGACCTCCACCATTCACTGACTCACTCCCTCACTGCCTCACTCGCTCGTTCATTCACCGAAGCGCAACGAGACTCTCACGGAATGATGATGGTGCCCAGATTTACATCCCGACTCATGCCCCATCCCATCCCATCACATGGCATTGCATCCCATTCATGGCTGTGGCCACGCTTGCAGCATTCCTCTAGAGACAAAACGGGTGCCCCCTAGCTGCGCTGCCGTCTCCATCTCCCCTCGTTCGTCGCTCGGCTATGCTCGCCGCTCCGTGACAAAAGTGCTCCCTCCGAATACGGACACCTCGCCCGCGGGCGCCCGCGCTGCCCTGTTCCGACGCCGTTTGCCGCCGGTGCCGTTACCGGCTGGCCCGTTCGATGTCAACGGAAAGGTGGCGAGGCGAGCACACATGACACATGCCGTGCCTTCGTGATTTTCCTTTCGCTTTCCACGTCCTTTTCGTTGTGGCTCTGATGATAACTTCAATGATTTCTGCATTTTATTACCGATTTATTATCGTCTTCGTAACTGCAGGTAAGCACGAATCTGGCTCGCATCTGCACATCTGAGAACACATTATAGAAGCTAGATTCGTATAAGCATAATGATGCAGAAGGGTAATTTGAGATTATTAATCATCTGAAGTGAAGAATATTATAATTAGTTGACTCACCTACGGTAGGTACTAGGATGCACTTTGTGTGGTTATTTGCGAAAGTTGTGTCCATCAACTTACAAGTGCAAAGAGTGCTTCAATGATGATTTTCCTGAACACGCATGTAAATCATCATTGAAGTATCTCATGTTATACACATGTGTAGTATGCATGTAACTTGACAACCATAATTTTGCTTTACTTGCTTTACGAATAAGTTCCAAAATATGCATAATCCAAAAATTGTAGATGATAATTCCATCCATTTTAGCTCATCCACATACTCAAGTTGTTAGTACAAAAATAGCATTCAACATAAGGTAAATCTCATGATATCACTTGTTCTACCATGGCTTAAGATACAATTAGTATTATCTGCATAGATGTGTACATGCAATTTTATGAATGTGAATCGCAGATGAAGGACGAGCTGTGTACACTAGATTGCCATTGGCGTTGACATTGCCCGATAGTTTATCTTAAGTTTCAGAAAGGAAGAGACAGAAAAAGAGTTTTTGAAGTATAGTGTTTGAAATTCAACAATGATGTAAACGGCATTTAAGACATAGAGTTTAAATAATGAAAATTTAGGTTTTGAGATTTTGTTCTAAATATAAATTTTTTTGGGTGATAATTGTCATAATACATTTTTTTAATCAAAACATGCAATTGAGTATATTAATAAGAACTCCAAAGTTTCTAAAAAAGTTTCTAACATATTGATTCTTTTGACAAGAATCAGTATGTTAAATATTTGAGAAAAGATATTTGAATAATTGCTTGATGGTATTCATTTATTTTGATATGATAAATACTAACGCCATTTTTCAATGTTTCAATAATCAAAATTGAAGTCAAAAAATTTAATTTCAAGCATGATCTGAAGTACAATGATAATTTTAATCATTATTTTCAATATTTTAATCATGACAATTATACATTTTATTAAAAAAAACTTATTTCAAAATATTAAATACAAGAAGTAGTTAAATATCTGTTATATAATGTTACATAAATGCAAAAATAAACAATAACTGCATACATGCAATTCTAGCATAAATCCATATATTAAATCTTATTGAAATATATTGCTAATTATAAAAAATTATATTAAATCTTACATCAAATAAGACGTTTAGATTGGTCACAACTATTCATGGAATATTATATGACTCTACAAGTTTAAACAATACATCCACAATATAAGAATTCTAGCCATCAAAAATAGTTTATGTATTTTTTTATTAATAAATCTAAATATAAAAACCTAAAATTTTAATATCGATCAATTAAAAATGAAAAAATGCTAAAAAAATTCTTAGTGAATAAAAAAATTATTGAAATTATTTCATTGAACTATCAAATGAAAAATTGTAAACAAAAATTCAATGATAGTTTTTGAAAATGTCATAACAAAAATAATTACTAAAATACCCGTAAAATTAAATAATGTAGATATTTATTAATGCAAACGTTTATGTGAATTTGTCTTTGAAGTATTTAAAATTTTTTAATATTAAAATTTAAGATCCAATTAATCTATTATGAGCTTGATATATGACAAAAACAAATTTGAAAAACAACATACTATATGCATACAAATACAAATATGCATATGTACATGGTTACATTTATATAAAATATGAATTGAAATGTACATATTCAAAACTGAAATTACTTTGATTGATAAACTAACAAAATGTTATGACTTATGAAAAATTCATTTCTTAAAAAAATTATGTTATTTTTGAAATAAATTTTGCATATTAAGAAATTTAGATAACTTAGATATTTAAAAGATACGAAATGTCAAGACTTCATATTGTGTTTTGTGATATGTGTGTTAATTAAGTATGACTGCGATTTTGACGTAAAACTTAAAAACTTTGCACGCATTGTGTTAAGTTTACGAAGTGCCAAAAGAATTCAAAGTGTCAACGTTTCAAAGATACCATTGGATCTTGATCATGATTAGTTCCATGATGAAGTGAAACCAAGAGGATTATCTTAAGGAAGAATACTATCGTTTCTACTTTCTAACATCTATCTACACTAGTTCGATCTATCATCGTAGATGATTGATGGCTTCGCTACTAGCCATAAAATATATAACGTAAAGCCGAAGGTCCGTAAGTGGATCCTCGGCCTTACGTTGGGCGTCGCCAGTGCCTCTTAATGGATGGCCATCAAAACCATAATTTGTTAATATACGTCATAAATCAGGATGATTAGAAAAATACACACCAAACACATATCAAGTTTTTCGTTTTTACCAGCCGGCTGATGGAAATATACTGACTACCGAACAAATTGGAAAGTAGAGCCACACTTGCTAACAGGATCTCAAAGTCAAATTATATAAAGTTGTTCAAATTGGAAATCATCAAGAAAGTAGACAAGTATATTGTCAGTATTAAAAATCTGTTACGATTTTGAGTATCTATTGATAACAAAAAAACGAATCAGTTGTTTAGGTAGATTGCTATTGTCATTATCCAACATCACAATTGTACTCAAAATGTTAAATTGATCATGATGACTAATCATATGGTTGGCACTTTTTTCAGTATAATGCTTGCGGTTTCATTACAACTAATTTTGACAATGTTGTGCAAATCGTTCGTGTGGACGTTCGTGCTATCCGTTGATTGTTCAACGCATCAAGCAATATCATTATTAGATTTGAAAATTCAAGTGTGTGTTGACGTTATATTGATGAATTTTCATGTATCATTATTGGCGTTTTGGAATTGTCATATTGCGATGAACTACATGAAGTCGATAATCATGTTGTTGAGCGTGCTTTGTTCGATTTGGCAAAAAAAACTTAGCTCTATAGGCTTTGATGGCAAAAACAAGATGATGAAGCATATTGGAGGAGTTGTCACTCGATTGGTGAGAATGTGTTTAAACAAAATTCTATCCATTTTGTGCTCTCCTCATCAACTGGATCCTTTCGTCAAACAAACAACCAACAATGTTGAAGATGAGATTTTTACAATACATGTCATGCATTTTTAGTTCACACACGGACGCAAGTCAACCTGATCAACAACATGGAAGAATCAAAATGTTTGAAATACATGACGCGATGGATCGCATTTGATAATCTACTTAAAGGGATTTCACGGATTTGCCGATGAATTTGTCAACACATCGAATAAAAACGGCATGTGAAAACGCCGTTCAATAAGTGATGAATCATTGTTTTGTTTCTTAATTTTCTTTTTGCAATGATTCAAATCACATTCAAGACACTGTAGATGTGTTACGTGATCATTTCACATCCACATATAGAAGTAAGCAAATTACAAACAAATATATGCAAAATTTGTATTTGCTCAAAACAAGACGGCATATTCAATGATGTTGAGTATCAAAATTTGAAATTCATGTTATTTAATAACAAAAATGTGTATTTTGTTTGATTTAATTCGTGATTTTATTGATCATATAGATTCATGTGCATGAGATTCATTCTTGAAAATTGATCACAATATCTAGAATAACATTATCAAGTTAATTTTTCATTTTGCTTTTTCAATTGTAATCTAAACTTTCATGATTTAGGCAAAGCGCAACTCAAACAATAATGCTGTTGAGTTTGAAACATCGCCAAGTATACTTGCCAACATTGTTAAGCTGTCGACGTTAGAATTCATTAGTATAGTTTTAGATTGGATTTGAACTCATGTTAAGAAACATTGGTCATCAGAGGATATTAATCTCATCAAAGAAGATTACAAAGAATGACTGAACTTGTAAAAAAAAGTATATGTGAAGACGACGCTTGAAAATCGCGACAAGAAGACATATTTCAATGATACATGGAATTCGATCAAACTAATCAAGAAACAAGATTTCATCTTATATTTAATGTTGAAGAATTTCAATGAAGTTCTTGCAACAGCCTTTGCAAACACATGCTCAATCTAATCCGACTATTTTGGTGTGAAATGGAAGAAACATGATCGACAAACGGATTTTCATAGTTTATCTCTTTCTGACGTCATGCATGCACGACACTATGTTTTAAAAATTGTTATTTGGATGATTTCAATACAAACATGTGATATATTGGTACTATAATTTGAACCAATGATATTTTGTAACACAAAGATTTTTGAAATCAAAATTGAATAGAACTCTACGACTGAAATGCAATCTTATGCTTCATACTTCTTGGTATTGATATCACACTCAGTGAATTGAATCTCAACTAGAAAGAATCTCATCATATGCACTAATAAAAAAATTGATTGTGTCGGTAAATTATTGTGCTGGATTGAATGAATTTGCATTTTATAAGATTTAAATTGAGCAATGTTTGTGTACCTATCTTAACCAAGCAAGCATATGCCCACATTTTTGTCACTATGCTTCAAGTGACTAGAAAGTTAATTACTCTTTTTGAGCCA